TGGGCCCACTGACGCCTTCAATGACTCAAAAGTACTTAGGTCCTTGCCTGCCAACAGCTTAGGCCTTGGGCGGGCCACCTTTTCCACCACCACCTTCGGTACCGGTCCCAATTCCTTTTCCTTATACTTTTCTGCCATTGCCAGGATCCTCTTATCCTCTGCCTCCTGACCCTTCCTTCTTGCCTCTACCTCCTCAGGCGTCGGATCTTCCTCTGCAGGCTCTGGACCCAAGCCCAGAGCAAATAGAGTAGAGGGCTTCACCAAGTTGTCCCATTTCAACCCCTTCTTATCCTTCTACACCCTCACCTGTTTCACCCTACCCTCCGCCTCCGCGTCTAATTTCGGTTCCAGCGACTTTATGGGGACTTTCCATATCGTCTGCACCCTTCTTCCACCATTCTTCGACACAAAAAACCACTTCGTTTGCTAGCCCTTCACAAACGAGGGCAATTCGATGACCAACCCCCTACTAGCCACCGCCTGCAGAGTTACTCAAGTCTCCGGCTTGCCTGAGGCCTTATAACATAAGAAAAACCCCTCCATCATCTTCGTTTTCCCATCTGTTGCCCATGGTTAAGAAATCGTGCACGCCAACACGATCTTCCACGCATTAGGCATCAACTGGCCAGGCGCCACCTCTAGTCGATTCAGCACCTCCACCATAATTTGAGGCATAGTCAACCTCAATCCCCCTCGGAGTGCCTCTTCATAAAGCGAAAACTCTATGGGCCTCACATCTAATGCCCTCTCTTTTGCCGACGGCAGCCTCAACTCCACCTCCGTCGGAATCTAATATTTCACTTGCAACTCCTCAGGTCTTCCAGCGTCAGCGTTGATTTATCTGCTTTGGTATGCCAATGGTCGAAGGCCATTTGACTTATAGGTTGGGCAGCTGATATCATCGTTGTTGACATAGGTCGTGGTGGTCTATTCACCCATTTTCCACCAACTTCCCCACCCTGTATTCCTCCGCCAAGGCAATGTCATCATCATCTCCTAAAGCATCCGGGGTCAGTGCAGGGGCTCTCTTTTGCGCCATCCCACTCACGTTCCTGTAAATCACTTCGGTCGCAGGGGCAAGAAAACTCGCAACGTGCAACAATGGTGTATCACACGAAACAAACGAGGTCAGCTCTAGGATCTGTTGGTTTCTCGCAATTAGATATGTAAATCGTACAAGCCCAAACGCCCAAGGTTTGCTTGTGTTCCATGGATCGTAATTGAACTTCGCTAGTTTAAAACCCAACAACCAAGATAACACCCCCACTTTTTTTGAAATCCCTCGCTCTAAACAACCTTTTCAGTTTCCCTCAAAGATACCACATTTTCATCAAAGATGTCGATCCCCTCACGCGTGCCCTCGCGCTACGCCGCCACCATTAACTATCTTTTTCTTTCCCATCTTTTCCCTTTTTGAGGGGGGCTGTTAATGTACACTAAACCTAACCCACTAACCTAACCCACTACATCCACTCCACTAAACCTAACACACTTACCATCTCCACTACCACCCACCACCTCCACTACCATCCACTACCACCACTCACCTACCTCACACCTCTCCTATATAATAGCTTGTAATATACAAAATCAATAACACAACAACAATCTTGTAATTCATCAATCAATATATACACAATTTATTTTCTCTCTCTCTATCAATTTATCTTACACTTTCCCATCTTTTCCCTTTCACATTATCACATGCATATCTGGCCTTTGAGCCCCGTGCCCATCAATGCCCCTTGACGGTTCTCCTCCACGCTCGGCTACCTTCGCGGTCGGCCAATCTGACAGTGATTTTTCATGTTCGGCCACCTTCGCGGTCGGCCAACTTGACGGTCCTTCTTCACGCTCAGCCACCTTTGCGGTTGGCCAACCTGACGGTCCTTCTTCATGCTTGGCCACCTTCGCAGTCGGCCAGCCTGACAGTCCTTCTTTACACTCGACCACCTTCGCGGTCGGCCAGCTTGACAGTCCTTCTTCACACTCGGCCACCTCCACGGTCGGCCAGCCTGACAGTCCTTCTTCACGCTCGGCCACCTTCGCAGTCGGCCAGCCTGACAGTAAGTTTTCACGCTTGGCCACCTTCGCAGTCGGCCAGCCTGACGGTCATTCTTCATGCTCGACCTTCGCGGTTGGCCAGCCTAACAGTCATTTTTCAAGCTCGGCCACCCTCGCGGTCGGCCAACCTAACGGTCATTCTCCCCGTTCGGCCACCTTCACGGTCGGCCTACTTGACGATCTTTCCTCATGTTCGGCCATCCTGCCGGCTGACCACTCTTGTCGGTCGGTCAGTCATCACGATCAGTTACCTCCGCGGTTGGCCAGTCAGTCTCTCCTCACCACTCCACTACTCTCCTAAAAGCACCCCCTCCCCCCCCCTTTTCTCTCTCTACCCAACCTTGGGGGACTACCTCCGCCTTTCTTATTCCCTTTGTTGGAATGAAGTTGCACTTGGGAATGAGAGATTACTGATACTAATGGGCGCCCAAGAGGGCACAACTCACGGCCCAGATAAGCCTACAGCTCACAGCCCAGGCATTAAAGCCCAGTAACTTTGAGAAACCAACGCTGGGGCCAGGACCAATAGCATGCAAACACGTGTCAAGCAGGAAATTAGTCACGTAAGCAGACAAATATCCTACAAAGCTATTGCACTCACACATCAGCCATTTAATGAGGCCACTATAGCATTAAATACAGCCAGATCCCTTGCGCCGGAGTATGCAGAATCACCATGAACGATGCCAATTAGACTATAGACTTTCGGCTAACGAGACAGTTGAGAATGGACAAAGAAATGATAAGCAAAGGATATAAAGAAGCTTTTCAGGATACGTTAGATGTTAAGTTTTTACCCCATTTATTTCTCTCTCTCTCTTTAAAAATTAATCTGTTCTAATTTAACTTGACCGTCGGAGTGTCCGTCGGGAGACTATCTCCCCCTTTGGACCTTTTTGCACGCACGCTTCTAAGACCCCAAGGCCAGCAGATCGATTAGAAGCGTGGACCAATTCGACCCATCCACCATTGGATTTACCCTATTATCATTATGATTGATCTCAACAATCTGCACCAAATTCTTACAATTAATCGGTGGCTTTTCATTTAATGTGGACTCCACATATCCTTGGGCAAAGATCTTCATTTATTTTTGTTGATCGACTTAATCATCTCACAATAAATATTGATTAATGTTTGAATTATACTTAAAAACATAAAATTCTAATGCACATTTTACATATTATATTTATTAGAAATATTTCAGACCTCTAAATCAAGAGCTCTAACAACTCTAATGTTGGTGTGGGTTTCACATGATGGAATGTTTTGACCTTTTTTTTTTTTTTTTTTTTTTTGATTTTCCAACTCATTAGAGCTGATATAGTACTCCAAATTTAGAACTGCCAATCCATGCTCTCTCTCTCTCTCTCTCTCTCTCTCTCTATATATATATATATATATTAATACATTTGTTTAAACATATATTAACCTTAATCAATAGGGCTAGTTTGGTTGGTCCCTCCTATAGGCATGCTGTCTCATCTAGCAATTTTTTTTTCTCCTAGTCTCTACATGCTTACATGATATCTAAGGCCCTAATCGTTGTTGATACGAATGGTTTCTTTTCTTAAATAAAAAGTCTATACGAACAAAAACTATAAACTACAGAATGTATAAATATTTGTAATTATAGATGTGAATATTTTGAGTCATGTCTGCATTTTATTCTATACAACTCTTTTTATGTGCGTGGAATATTTACTTACACATCCATAAGGGCTCGGATGTAGGCTCACACAAAAAATTAATGGGGCTGGCTCAAGATCTAAAAATGATCAATCATATATAAATTACTCAATGAAGCGTTCCCTAACCAAGTGTGATTCGTACATTGAAATTTGGGCAAATTACATCTTACGACTTTATACTTTACATTGAATTTCATTTTACTCCCTAACATTTTAATTGTCTTAGTCAACTCTCTATAATGCAAGTTACAATTTGATACAGTCGAATAACATCATTTAAAAAATTGACAAAAAAACTAAAGTGTAGGGATTAAAGTGAGATTTGATAAAAATATAAATAAAATGAGATTTTTATAAAAGTGTAAGGGTGCAAAGTGTTGTTAACATTATCATATGGCTATTCTCTATTACTTTTCAAAACGGCCTTATGCAAATGAATCAAATTACTACTTTACTAGTATAATTAGTCGACTGAAACAACTAAAAAATCTCACTTTAACCCCTACCTAAATTAGTCGATGGTAGTGTGGTAATATTAAAAGACTTTAGTTCATAAAACATTTTTCGCTTGTTTGACCATAAAAAATGTTTTCCCGTTGACTTTTATTTTTCATTGTACCAAACGCTAGAAAAAACGAAAAACATTTTCTAGCCCAAACAAATGCAGCGTTATTGAAAAATAGCACTCAGGGTAAACCAAGAACTCCAGTGCTGAAATCACAAACATGAAAATCAAACCCTATGCAATGCAAGCCTAGATTTACAAAAAGGTGTTTATTTGCTTTTCTAGGTTAATTACAGTAATTTATGAGAGCATATGTAAGAACTAAAGTGGATACAAAGACAAGAAAATAGATTTATTGTATGATACTAGAAAACTGTATTCAAATGTTTTCCCCGACATGATTGCAAAAACCCGAATTGTGGGGAATTCAATGTCATCAAGCTGAAGTTCTCCATTGCAGTTCTATCTGAATCCGACCATTCTTCGAGTCAATGAGGTTGTATCTCTCATTGATTCTCTTGTTGCTAACAACATCAGAAAGGTTAATATCCACATAACCCAGAGCTTCCTGAACATAAAAAAAAAGCATGAGAAATTTCAGTGGTTTGCTGTATGCATGGAATTTTCACAACTAAAAAATATGGGTTGGAGTTAGGAGTGCAACTCTTTCCTCTTGTTACTGAAAAAAAAAAAAAAAAACAAACAAACAAACAAACAAACAAACAATAAGCACCAAATTAAAATTTACTTTTGAACATGTGAAAGCCACAAAAGACTGGCATTGCTTCCCAAATGGGCTTGTCGGCTGAGAATTCCTCTGACATTAGATTGTTGTGTTTGGTGAAAGTAAACAAACTGACTTCCTGTAGGTGTACTTCTCTAGGAAGTCAATTTAGCCGAAGCTACTGTGAGTGGAAGCACTTTGGCAGAATCATTCACCAAACATTTATCATATTTAAAAGGCCTTTTCAAGGTCTTCTTATGAAGCACTTCTTGGAAATGGATTTTCCCCAAAGACATGCTTCATAAGAAATAGTTTCTAGAAAGCCCATTTCCAAAAAGTGCTTCATAAGAAGAGCTTCCTAAAACGGCCCTTTAGAAGATGAGAAGATGATGAATGTTTGGTGAATTGCAAAGAACTTTTAAAGGATGCACAAGTTTGAAGTCCATCAAGGAATTCTCCAAAACAATAAATCGAGACCTATAACAAGGGAAAATAGTCCATGTTTCAAAATGTTAGAAAATCATTAATAGTCCATGTTTCAAAATGTTAGAAAATCATTCCTCAAGGAATTCATTTCCAATCTGACAAAAAAAAAAAAAACAAAAGAAAAAGAGGAGAAGAAGATAAATCTGTACTCATGATATAGGGCCGTGCAGTGGATGACCCGGCCCGGCCCGACGTCAAATGGGTGGATGCGTGGTACCTGGCGGACGGGTGCGGGCTGAATATTTCAGGGTTTTCGGGTTCGGGTTGGGTGGCAGGTGATCCGCCATTTTACTCCACAAACCCGACCCGCCCGTGCCTTTCTTTTTTCCTTCGTTTTCCCCCCCAAATTTATACACGCATCAGTCCCCTTTTGTTTAGAATTGGCCCTAATTCCTTCACAAACCAACACGCTGAGACTCTCTCTCTCTCTCTCTCTCTACCCTACCCTACCGTCCGACGGTAACCTCCGGCCGACGATCTACACTGAACGACTGACGATCTACACTTCTGATCGACGATTTGCTTGCACTGAACGACGATCGATCTACTCCACTGAGGTATCTCTCTCTCTCTCTACTACATTTTTCTCTCTTTTCTACCATTTATCTGAGGAGTGGAGTACAGACCTTGAGTGAGTTGGGTGATCAATTGTGTGTTTTTTTTAGACTGAAATGGGAAGAGCACCTTGCTGTGAGAAAGTGGGGTTGAAAAGGGGGAGATGGACTGCAGAAGAAGATGAGATCTTGACCAAGTACATTCAAGCTAATGAGGAAGGTTCTTGGAGGTCTATGCCCAAGAATGCTAGTGAGATTTTCTACTCTTCTTTACATTTCACTATATCAAACTTATATATGTAAGTTGAGAGGGTTGCTTTTCGTCTTTGTCTTGTCAACATAAGTTTTCAATAGAGGGAAATAGATTGACAAATATTTCGTATCTCATTATGATTTGATTTTGGGAACTTTTTCTTTCTTTGTTTGGCTTTGGCCAAACATCACTTTGTTTGTAGGTTTTGACCAAATTATGAATCTTGCAATAAATTAAGTTACCAATTTTTTATTTTTTTTTTAAAATTATTTTTTAGTTGAGGAAAGCTACCAAATTTTGTTGGTGAATTCTTTAGGCTCAATTCATGGTAGATAATAAGGTCAATCCACTACTGTGAAGTGAACATTTGTCAATTCTCTCAAATTACGTTGTTGCAACGATGGTTTTTTTCTTCTTTTTTTTCTTATTATATATATATATATATTTTTTTTAATTTTAGTAATTATATAATACTTATTAAAAAATATCCAATAAAGTTGTGATTAGAAATTGTTTTTAAGAACCACAACTGAAATTGTTTTTAAGTCTCATTCTTTATTTTAAGTCTTTTTCAGAATCTTAGTGAAATTCTTTGTGGTTTTAGTTGAGTTTCATGTGTGATTAAGTATGAGATCATTTGGCTCAAAGTGGTATAGCTTGAATCATGATTGTCTAGAGTGATTTTTCGTAAAGTGTTTTTAGAGTAATTTTTTAAATGACTGAGAATTAATTTTGACAAAATTGAGGATATCTAATTATTTGACCTTCCAACTCTCAAAACCTAATCTTATTACTTTGCAATCACTTTACGAAAAATCACTCTAGAGGATCCTGACTCGTATGGCTTACCGGTGAGACTTTTGAAGCAACATGTTTTGAGTTCAAGTCTCCTTAACTTTGCTTGATATATGCTTAATAAATATTTTATGGTTTTAGAAATAACAATAAAAAGATAAGAAGATTACTCTGATGAGAAAATTGCATATGATGGCATATGAGAAAATTGCATATGACATATGAAAATCATTTGATCTTCAATGTCTCTGATGGATGGTTGAGCCCATGTGTGCTTAACCTTATTGTAATTTGTTTGTATACTCTGTCTTACATATTCTGTGCTATAAAAAAAATGCAATACAATTTAGATTTGGTATGTCACAACAGCAGTGCAATAGCTAAGCAATACAATAGATTGGTATGTCTTATATTTTTTATTTATGGTTTTGAAGGGTTACTTAGGTGTGGGAAAAGCTGCAGACTGAGATGGATTAACTACTTGAGATCTGACTTGAAGAGAGGCAATAGGTTAGTGCAGCATTCCCTCATTATCTTTCCAACAAAAAATCTGTACACATAATCTATGATGTGAATTTTGAAATTTTTTTTATTGAAATTTGAGATTAGATATATATTTTTTTTGTATGCCAAAAATTTGTAAAATTTCAAACCGCCAAACCGATTCGCATCCATCCGCCAATCCGCCAATCCGCCAAATCCGCATCCGCCGGATTGGCGGACGGATGCGGATTGATTTTTTCCAATCCGCCAATTTGGCAGACGGATGGCGGATTGGAGGTTTCGTGGCCGCAACCGATCCGCGCTCACCCCTATCATGTTATATTGTTTCAGCAAAAAGTACTGTATTCAAACAATGAGGCAATGTGTACCTTGGGATGCAGTAGACCCATCCTTGAAGAGGTGCTAACTACTTCCACATGAATTCTGTCATTAGTCGGTGGTTCATCTAGTGTGAACTGAAACTCTTCTTGCCATCTGGGATCTCTGTTTTTCTTCACAGGCTGCATAAATGCCAGACAATTGTCAGTCAATAAACAGAGAACATTAAAACATTTGAAGGATTGCTGATAGATGTGGTCCATTTGTTGTTTTGAGTTGGCTCATTGTATCAGCCAAGAAAATTATGCAACGAATAATTGTACATCATGAACAAACAAACATTGTGTTGATAGGCTACAACATACCTTGGTTCTTCTCTCCTCTCCTCTAAAAAGTAAACGCACTTGGGGATTTGTGTGGTGCTTCCCCTCCAGATCTTGAGCTTCATGGACAATTACTGCAAGCAAACCACCACCATCAGGAGTTCCTTCAGGAGCTTTTTCTACTGTATCTGAATCTTCAGTTTCCTTTGGCATCTCTTCATCCGTAAAAGGTTTGTACATCAATTCAAGAACAATCTGCCCACGTGACTTCTCATTTTGAGCATCATTTGGGTCCATGTTTTTCAGCAGATCAAGAGTCATTACTTTTAGCTCTTCGGGTGTAAGTTGTTTCAATGGTACTACATTTAGGCCCATCTTGTCATGCTTGCCGACCTAATTGAAAAGCAAAACAATGAAAAAGAATGAAAGAACAACTTCTGTATTTAGGTCAAACTGATCAACCATGTTTTAAGAGTATGCTGCATTCATAGCCTACTTATTCATTCATCTTCAAAAATAAAAATATAAAACACAAAATTATTCAACAAAGAAAAGACACAAGACTATTTTGTCCTTGTTCTCCTACAAGTTGAACCAGAAAATACACAGACTGACTCATTATTTGATCATAACTATGAAAAAAAGAAAAGAAAGTGGAATATACCTGTTCCCAGTCAAAAACATTGATCTCTAAAGCTTGAGATTCTGGATCTTTCACAACCAAATTAAATTCTTCATTCCATTCAGGGTTCAAGTTTTTTTGCTTCACAGTCGTTTTCTTCGATGGAAGTTTGTCCTCAGTAAGTTTCAGTTTTACATAAGGGTCTGATGCACCCAAAAGGTCTTTCTTTTTAAGCTTCATTGCTCTCACAACCTTCACACTGAGGATACCAACAGGTCTCTTCATGGCTCTGCCAAATCATAAGTAAGTGTAAGCCAAAGCAAAGACTTATAATGGGGATGAAAATAATGTTTTCCAAGTGAAAGCAAGAGAAATATACACTTACTTTGCAGGATCCATAATTGGTACCTCAAGGGTTTTGGGCCATAGATACATATTAGCAACCTGATCTTTGATAAGCTCCTGAAGCAAAAAATAATAAAATATAATGAGTAGCCAAATCAAAATCCAAAATAATGAATATAAATGATCAGAGTGGACTTTGGGATTCATACGAAAATGGAAAAATTAAAGGAGCATTTTGATGTAGAAATATGGTCATGGTTTCCATCATTGGAGCAGTTAATTGATGATCAAAGAAATAATCCACTAAAAATAATGATAATAACACTAAAGTGTTTTTTTAGATAAAAACGACTTCTTTGCACATGCAGTTGCACGTTTCTGAAATGGGTGTTGCTAACAAGTGCCCCTAGGGTACATGAAAAAGACACAAGAATTGAAGAACACGAGGCGCTTTTAACTGAATTTAATGCAATTTTTATTAAAATCAATACACTTTTCACTTATTTCCAGTAAACTTTTTAGCTTAGTTCCAATGTTAAACAATGCCCCAGGGGGACTCCTTAGTATTTGCCTTTTGAAATTTATACAACGAAGATGTGCCTAACACGTGAATGAAGAATAAAATGAATTCTAAAGAAAATGAGTTATAGTAGCAAAGGAAACCAAATTAACATACCTGGACAAACCTATAAAGGCCGGGAATGGACATAGCATCTGCTCCTAGCAGTTTCAAACCAAAGTCAACATGAGGCTGCAAACTCAGACCAAGAGGGGGAGAGAGAGAGAGAATCAAACTTTTGACAGTAAAAAAGAAACACTGTTACATATGAAGCCCATATGCAGTTCCGAAAATCTGATGATGAATAAAAATATCCTAAGGCTGTGTCTGCTGATTCAAGGATTTGAGGAGAGATTTAGAAAATGAAAGGAAAAAGGAAAAAGAAAAATAAAAAGTGAAAAAAAATTAGCTTATATTCCATTCACTTTTCCCTCATGTTTCTTCTCCTTCCACAAATCTTTGATCCATACACACCCTTAATCCAACATCTCATCAACCGAAGTTACCACTTTTCATTACCACGTACCTTCTCCATGAGAGATACTAAGATTTTGGCAAAACAAGGAAAAGTTGGGACCAATGGCTTCAAGGTGATACGTGGACAGGCAAATACTTGCAAATCAACCACCTGAAATACTCCAAAGGAACATACAGTCACTAATGAATACAAATAAGTAACGAAGTGATCTCTCCCTATAAACTAATGTTCATTCATCCACTCGTCAAAAAAGGAGAGAGAGAGCACAAACATTTTGCAACTGTTTGTGCACATAGGTTAGTTTTTCCAACAAAGCAGTTCTACAACTATGAATTTCTTCAACACCAACTAGTTAATTTTAACAACTATCGATTTCTCTGTTCAACAAAAAACAAACAAGCAAATACCTGAACACTGGCTCTCAACCCAAATGCCTTAGCTACAACGGTGATGTTAGGATTTCCTGCCCACTTCATGGATGTTTCCATTATCAACTCTTTCTCCTCAGTGAGATACACTTTCATTCCTGGCATGAAATGGCATCAAGTATTCAACATTTTATATTTTGTTTCCCATAAAAACAAGTTACATGAATTCTCACTTATTTAACATGTTTTCAAACCATTGGACCTTACACATAGATTCCCAAAGAGCTGCAATAATGTAAATTATGCACAGCTTCTCATTGCATCACAATAATTAGTCAAATGAAATACTGGCATAAGAGTGAAACTTCTTTACTCATATTTGTGTAACTTTATGGCACCCAAGTGTGATTGAAACATTGAGAGAGAAGGAGAGTCAACCTTGAAAAGTAGGAGGTAGGGAGCCCAGGCTCAGTGCTTCGAATTCAACAGAATCAATTTTGTATTTTGGAATTTGCTCGGCAATAATGGGCCCTGCTATATTTTTCACAGTCTTGCAGATTGCCTGAGGGACCTTAAACCGTCAATACAGAAAACAGAAACCTCCAAAAATTTTAGTGCTTGTCCAAGTAAACATACCTTGTCCAAATAAGGCCACATTGTTTCAATGAATTTGTTAAGCCAATCAACCTGTGCAAAACTAGAACTATAAGAATCTTACATGAATATGCAGCAAGAATGTGTATATACAATATTTTTAAGAATACTCAATAGTCAATAGGTAGTAGGAATAAGTTTATGGATGCCCGAGTATATTTTTGGGAAGTCACAGCTGCTTACACGGTCATAGTCTGGATTTTTCACCCAGAGAGGTATCTCTGGAAGCAACCGCTGCAAAGTTTGAGAGTCTTGCTCAACCAATGGACGAATAACAGGATCCTGAAAATGTTTCAAAAGAGATGGAAGACCAATAAAAAAGGTTCGATTATCTTAACCACTGGATGCTAGCATCAATTCTATTTCCTTTTTTACTGCCTTATGTATGTATTGGACAGATATGCAGGAAGGACAATTAGGGACAATACCACTCAGTAACAGATTGTAACAATACATACAGAAAACAAAATAAATTGACAAAGCTTGAGGCATATAATAATGAGTGGAGGTTGAACCAACCAACAGTATCAAATCATTTCCTGCCCTGCCGCTCAATACTATGTGAATTTTTAGAGTACCAGTTGGAACAGAAAATCACATACACAGTTTTTAATCAGCTCTGAAAAAATCATCTCAAATTGTTTTAAGATGGGGTTGATGACTGTACAATATCAACTTAAAGAAAAATTGAGAAATGTAACAACCCTTGCTTACAATAACCAAACCAAATTAAACCAAACTAAGTTTTGTGTCCCAATCAAGTGGAGTCGGCTATACAAATCCTTTTTCGCCATTCAACTCTATCAAGGGCTATGTGCTCAGTCTCGCATATTCATATTAGCATTCATGTTCATAACGGATTTGATGGAGATTTTTACATGCTAGCTATCAGGCTACCTAACACACACACAACCCTCCTCCTTTATCTGGATTTGGGGCCGGCTGTATAAAAGATTAAACACTACGCACAACAGACGAGAAGTCAACCCTTGTGATAACACAACCAACCAATAGACTTATCCTATTTCCGCTCTCTGCTAATGTCATTGAAATTGCAACTAGTGACTGGCGGAATTTCTTCTTTCAAGTTTCAAATTTTTCGATCCGACTTTTCTCACTCTATATCACACTCAACTAACAAAAAACCATATCACCTCGACAAAAACCATAAAAAAGATGACATACAATATAAGTCCTACCACTTCAAATCCACTCAAGCCTAAAGATTTTGATGGCTAATTCTTTCCAATGATCCTCTAAAATTGTTCATGTGGATCACATAAGATGATAATCCATAGAAATATGTTCATGGTGTTATATGACAATACCCAACATGAGATTGGACTTTGTTTGGCAGTTTCCTGTCGTTTACAGATTGATATTATAGACAATTGATTACACAGATGCGTATATGAGAATTAATGGGGAAAAAAAGTCCAATAAAAATGAAGAAAAAACAAACTTGAACAAAACAATCAAAATGTCTGAAGTGCGGAGAGAGAGAGAGAGACTGACCGGGACATCAGTTGGTTGGAAGTAGATGAAGAGATAATACCCAATCACCAGCCCAATTGAAATTCCCATACCAAATCCAAAAAAACCCATTATTGTACTCACTATACCCATCTCTGATCTTCTTTCAGATCACCACAAATCTCCACTACTCAGGTTCTCCGAGAATTCCACAAAACTAGGAGAAACGAATGTGACAGAAAGGAACAAACCCTTAAATCTTTGATCTTCAAAACCCAAAAACCCAAAAACACAAAAAAAGAAAGGAAAAAAAGAAAATCAAAATCGAAGAAAACACATGGTGAATCGTTTTATATAGCAGTCCATGTGATCAACATTGTTGGGTATAAGAAAGGGCACAAACGAAGAAGAAGATATGTAAATGAGATAGAAAGATTATCAGGAAGAAATGCAATAAAAGTAGCATTTATTAATGGCCAGTCTTGCGTTCCAACGACCCATTGGATCCACGCATAACGGCTTTCCAAAGGAAAATTCAAGGCGCGTGAATTGTAATAGTTGTAGGCATGTGTCGGCAAGGCATTTCTCTGTCCTATCAATGCTTCATATGATATGGACCACCATATGGTTTTGTTTTGTACTATAGGACAAATACACTTTCTTCCATTTTATATCAAATTCTACTTCGATTCTTATCCATGAAATTATTACAGTCTAACATTTTTGTTTCTCATCAGGTATCAATATTTTTCCTTTATTAATCATTTTAAGTTTATAGCATGTGATTACAAAATGTAAGTAAAAAAAAATAATAATCTTTCTTGCTTTTTACTAATTCACGCTTTATCTCACGTGATATAATATAAGAAATTTTATGGAATATATACCATATGTACCTTAATTACGATATTTGTGGTATTTGATTATGACATATTAAAGTGTCAATTATGATTTCATTATGATTTATTCATACACTTTGTGGTTACAATATTAGTTATGATATTATTTTGGCTATAATTTAAAAACTATTTTTTTTTAGATGGTATCACCTAAAAATTATTTGGTTATATTTTATAAGAGTGTTTGTTTGGAAAGTGTGGGATTAAACTCCATGTCTAATATTTCACCAAAATTGGACTCCATGTCTAATATTTCACCAAGTCCGTTGTTTTGGTTGAAAATTTACAGTCTGACCAGACTATTAGTCCGCCAAATATGGGACTACCATATCCTAAGGGGAGATGGAATACAGGAGTGTTGGACTAGTCATCTTCTGAATTACGGTAAAAAGACAATTTTATCATTCAAATATTTATGACATGTTTGGTTTGGTTTTTAAAAATTTATTCTAGAATTTTTTTTCAAAAAAACTAAAAATTAGTTTGGTGAAAATATATATATATTGATGTTTAATTTTTTCAAAAAAAAAATCAGAAAATATTTCCTTGTGATATGGTCAACTTGAATTTGTATTGTTATTTTTATCAAATTAATTTCTATTTTTTAATGTTATGCACTGCACTTAATAAAATAAAATTTAAAAATCTCAAAAAAAAAAAAATAAATTTATTTATTTTTTATTGATATTCTATCTAATTTTTTAGAATTTCTAGGTAAAAAAAATTATAAGTCAAATTTAATATTATTATTACTTAGTAAACAATTCAAAATCGCAAAATCTTCTTTTGAGTATTTATTATTTTTCCTAATATTTCAATCAAATATATAATTTAATAAAATAGTTATTTATTGACATCTAATCTAATGACTAAACAAATATGAAAAATACACCATTTCTAACCAAATAATCTAAGAACTATATATCTCAGGATTAACAGTTTAATAAATTACAATCCCCTTATCCAATCCGTCCAAAAAAATAAGGACTTTGTGTGTTTTGTTATAACTTTTTTCTTTCTTCTTTTTCTTCTCTCTTTGTGTGTGTTTGTGTGTGTAAAGTTATGACTCCTTAGCTCAGTTTCTTTAGGATGAAATAGGTAGAAAGTGAAACAAAGAGAGAAAAATGAGTTTGCTTAGTTTGAAAGTGGTGAAAAGTATAATAAAACTAATTTTTTTATACAACTCATATTAGTATTGTAACTAATTTTTTATTTCTTGCAAAAAAATACCCAAAAATTGAATGTGTGAGTTATCTGTAACTAAACTTTTAAATTTTTCTATCTTTTTCTTACAAAATTTTCATCTTAATCAAATACTTGAAAGAAAATATATTTCATTTTCTATTTCTTTTCTTTTACTTTTACTTTCTACCAAATTTTTTTCCTAATCAAACGGAAAGGTTCTGTTTGAATAGAAAAAATAAATGATGGAAAGTAAAAATAGTGAAAACTAAAGTAAAAGAAAAAATATATATTTTCTTGTATGAATTTGATTATGATGAAAATTTTACAAGAAAATAGGAATTTTAATTATAAGTAATTACGTTTATAATAAATTTAAACTTTCTTGTATTTTTCTGTATTTTTTGCAAGAAAGCAGAAGTTTAGTTACCATGTTATTATCAGTTGTACAATATTAACTCTCTTAATTTGTTTTTCTTCATTTCCTTCACATTCTATCATTTTTATTTTAACCAAACTGAGCCTAAATGATTGAATTATGACATTTGTGATAATCAATCCTATAAATGTCATAACTTACATATGGTGCACATCCAAACATTACCTAATCCTATATGAATATATATATATATATATATATATGTTCATATGCTGAAAATAGGAACAAAGAAGTAAGAAAATAGAATTTTTAAAATAAAAAATAGCAACAAGGAAATGAACAGGAATTCACGGCAGATTGTGTTACTGTGACAAATAGAGCTTCGTTATTCTAATTTCTGCAAAACCTTAGTTCATTCTTAATCGTTCACAAATTGCGTTTGTTTTAATTGAATATAATCATAATTTGATGTAAAATTTGAAATGAAATGTGTATAAGCGAAAAATGAAGGTGATTTTTCTCCTTTATCTTCATTGCATTGTCACATTACTGACTTTTATTAAAAACTTATATGGTGAATTAATAAAGATAAATTAAATTATATATTTTTATAATTATTTTAATTTATATAACTTTTTTTAACTTTTTTTTATTCTTCACGTGTCTCCTGCTTCACAATTTTTCTTTTTTTCAATTATCCAACCCCACTACCCCAAAAAAAAAAGAAAAAGAAAAGAAAAGAAAAATATAGATTACCAATCCCAAAGCAGAAGAACTTACATAGAATACTATATATGGAAAGACGAAAAGAAAAGTTAGACGAAAAATAAATAAATAAAAACAGAGTAAGAGTACCCAAAAAAAAACAGAAAGAAACTAATCAGAAAAGTGATTGAAAGAGAAACCAAAGCGATCCAATCCCTTTTTGTATTCTTATTAGGGCACATTTTATCAAAATGTGTAAAACTAAAACATATTTTGAAAAATGTAAAAAATATCTTGAGTATCCATTTGAAAATTGATTATTGTAATTAAATTTTTAATTTTTTATAAAAAAATGTATAAAAAATAGAGAGTGATATGATAATTTATAATAATTTTTTTAACTACAAACTCAGATTTCCAAATGAAACCTAAGAATATGAATGTTTAAACATTTTATAATTTTTATTGGTAGCTCACACGATTATTATAAGCAAACCCTTTCTTATTGTATAACTTTAAACAATTATTACATTAATTAATTGTTAGTGGCCCCAGCTAAAAAAATAGCAAATAAAATAAAAAATTTGTAAGTGGGACCTCATGATCCATTTTAGATACTTGATGGAGGCGCACTCCACTTCTACTTGACTTTTGTGTAATAGTGTTCCTCATGGCAAAGTTTGGTTGTTAGATATGATGATTAAGGCGGGGGTGGTTAGATTCGGGCGGTTTGGAAATAAAATTATAAATTGAGGTTATATTAGGTATAAAGATTTAGGTTAGATTGAGATTATTTTAGTTATAAAAAGATAAATTAGATTTTTTAATTTAATAAGATAAAATATCACATTTAAATCATAATTATTTTATTTTTTTCTCACAAAAGTTAAAAAAGTCAAAAAATTTATTCCAAATGTGACTTTTTAGCCTTAAGCTAAAATAACTAAAAAGTCAACCCATATCCCAAAGGAAGGCTGAATGGCAGATTAATGGATTAGCTGATTGCAAATTGTGATTTAGGATGTTTTGGATAGATTGACGGATTGAAGAATATTCTAACTATTATCAAATATTTACATAATATATAACACTAATTTACATAATATTTTTTTATATACATAACACAAATTAATTTTACATAATTTCATATATATAACTATTAATTTGTAACAAATTTCATATTTTACATCTCTCTAACACTTATTTTTATATTGATATTTTATTGAAAAAATATATATATATATTAATTATAGCGGAGCGGAATGGTTTGAAAGGCAGATTATAAATTTTAAAGTTCAATCCGCGATTGACAGATAAAGCGGTACAGATTGATACGGATCGATACAGTTTGAACGAATTGAGCGGTATTTTACATAATCCTAATGATGATAGGCTTGTAATGCTTAACATATCACATTAATAAATTTATTTTTAATAATATAAATTGTTTCGTTTTAATACTTGATTTGCTTGTAAATTATTAAATTAAAATTCAATCTCTTTTCATATTAATTTGAATAAATTTAAAAATAATGTTTAGAAATTTCTAATTTTATTCTCATATGGGTGCGGTGAAATATATTTTTGAGGTGTATTTATTACACAAATTGATTATTGTATAAACATTTTATAAATTTCTTACACAGTTATGTGATAATAAAGTTTTAATATTGGAAAATGTATATAAATTTTATATTTTCTTTCTTCACATATGCAATAACAAAATTTTAATATTTAGAATGAGACTTTAAAAATAATATTATAGAGATAACTTACACAATTAAGGATTTGTAGTGATTGTTGTGCTAGGGGTATAGCAGTCACTGCTACGCAGTTAAATAGGTCTATTATGAGATTTATTTTGATAATTCGAACAGTTCACATTTTAGAATATATCGAGTAGAATATATCTGTAAAAAATCAAGTTAATAAGATATCGTTAACCGTTTTATCCACTCACATTTATATTTACGAAAATAAATGACAATTGTGATTTGAAATATTAAAATGGATATAATGTGAGTAGATGAAAGAGTTAACGATATCCGATTGACTTAATTTTTTACAGGTATGTTTTACTCGATATATTTTAAAATGTGAATGATTCAAATAATCAAAATAAACCCCAAAATAAGTCCATTTAATTGCACAACAATGTTATTTCGAGGGCACATGAGCCATCTCAAATCGCACAATTAATGAGTAAACAAAAATAACTGTAAAATTTACATATTTGTTAATTTGTAGTCATACGAATTTACCTTAAGGCCTCGTTTGGGAAGTAGCCTTTTTAGCCTAAAAGTCAAAAAATTGCAAAAAAATCAAAAAATCAACAACCAATACAAAAAAGTCAAAGATTTCATTTTCTCTTCACT